TTCGTTAAATATTATCAAAAAATTGCTAGAAGTATATATTCAGTTCTTGAAGAAGATCACATTTCGTGCGCAAAAATGGGTCCAAGTTATAATGGCGTCGGGATTTGGATCCACTATTCCACCGGACGTCAAGCCTACGACTTTGGCCAAAGAATAAGCTATTTGGCGACACAAAGACCTCAAGTTTTCCGGCTCCAGTTAATCCATGCGTAGGTCAAGCCTACGAGGTCATGAGAAAAGTTCAATAAATCTAGCAGTGGTATCCACTTTTGCGCTTCTCGTCTAAATAAAACACGTGCATGCCGCTCTTTTGCTGTTAGGTTTGCGCACCGCCTTGGAGTGACGACTCGCCAAGGCTTAACCACTTCAGTATTGGTAATCACGACGCCTGAAAGGTCGCTGCTTCTTTTAGGCTGTCACTCGACGTTAAAATATGGAATTCAGTGCCGTGAAGTACGATGATGATATTTTCAAATATAAACGGCATGAACGCATGACAAGCACGTGACACCAATCAGAGACAGCGTTCGTAGACCAACAAGGAAAACACCCTCTACCACCCTCTGATAATGAATACGAGATCCACTTTGTGGAAAACGTAGGCCGAATGCCCTGCCTTAATCTAGTTTTGAACCATTGAGCAAACTATTTCGATACTTTTGAGGACATGCAAGCTCACGGACAGCATATGGCACGTATATCCTACAACATAAACAATAAAGCTACAGATAATTTGTGGGATGGAGTCCGGAAATAAATGCAGACAAAAAAACAGTTGCTTTACACAAGCCTTATTGAGACTTTCACCGGATCTTTCACTTTAGAAGGATTGCTCAAAAAATTCAATATTGCGTTCCAGATTAGACTGGTTAGACGTTCGAAATTCCAGAAGTAAATTTTCCACTTACATCGACAATAAACTGATGAGGCTGATGTCGGGGAGTATTTATGTCTGTCACGGCGACGAACGAAATTTCCGATACTGTTAATGTATGAACGCCAAGTCTAATAGGCGAATTATATTATGCCACATTTCAACATACCCATTTTCAGCATAGAAGAGGTGCCCTTCAGGAGTATTTCTGTGCAGAAAGGCCTCAACAATATTGGAGCAGTCCCTGTTTGCGATAGCTTGTTTGCACAGGATGTTCTTCTTATTTGTAACGGCGCAAAAATAAAGACTCATTTTCTTTGAGTCAGTTAACGTGAATTTCACCTAAACCAACATCAGCGCGGCAAAATTGTAACTTATGTTAGTTAAGCTAAACAACTAGCTCGAGTTATGTGTCGGTCACTTAGTAGGTCCGTGAAGTAGGCAGTCAGTCAGACAGTCGGCAGCCAGGGGTCAAAAGTAGAAGCCATATGGGAGATCGCTTGCCAATGCCTCCACCTACTGTTTACGCTGTCATGTATTTCTAAAGTGCCTGTGGTTGTTGCGAGATGAATAGCCCCGTGCTATCTCAGCAAAGCCCTCTCAAGCATACCATAAACTGGTTTACCACAGTTGGGGCTTCAATGACGGCTTATGAAAGGCCGTTTGGTTCGTTTTTTGTGTGGTTGATGTGTTTGGTGGGGAGGTCGTTTTTGATTTATTGGCCTAAAATCTCCGAGACGCGTTATCTGGTCAGCAATTAAATTTTTACCAGAAAAATGGCCAAAGTTTCTTCCTTTAATTGTTCATGAGACTCCTTCAGGTATAGTCCAGATTTCTCAGTATGAATCTATTTAGGGGACTTCGGGCCTGAAGCTCGGAAGTAACTGTTCTTCCTTCGGTACGTTCGAAATCGGTTTCGTTTTTCCCTCGTGCAAATTCGTGAAAATTTTTTTCGTTGTTCAATCTATTCACAGAGTACACACGAGTAATTGTTGAATTTTATTACTCTAACAAAACATCTGAGTGATAACCCTTCATATTTTGCGCACACCTATTTTACATCTAGTCCGAAACATGACGTCAATCCATACCGATCGCCCTCCGCAGCCATTGGTAGACCACAATAGATGTGGGCGGAATGGCTGACAGTCGAACGTCAAACGCGGTATGCAATGCCACGCCTGCAAGGCCTGGTGGCATTTCAAATGCACGGGCTTACAGGACGACCAAATAAGCCGACTAGCCAACTCTCCTGACCCGTTTGTCTGTGCCAGCTGCCTCTATGTCAAGGGTGCAATGCATACCGCAGCGAAGAGGAGAGTCCCCCGAAACGGTACACAATCCCCAGTGCAGATGCCGAAAGACCACTGCCAGTGTTCCGCTTTAATCGGGATACTCGACGCGAAATTAGAGCGTCTTTCGAAGGCACTGGAGGACTCAGGCGCTAAGAATGCAGCGACCTGGGCGAAAGTCGACAAGGAACTTTCCTCGCTGAACCAATACCTCGCGATGTCCATACCGGGTCCCATGGCTGCGAAGAAAGTCATACAACTTTCTGACGCAGCTATAAAAACCGCCACAGCGTCTCTAGTGGACAGACGCCTAAGGGAAAACAGGCTGATAATCTGGGGATCGTTCTCCGGAAAAATCACGCCAGCGAAGCTGGCACAGTCGA